AAATTTTTGTGTTATTTCTCTTTAAAATAATTAATTCATTAATTACCTTTAAATTAATTTTTAAAATGAAAATTTTCATTAATGTAAACTCAGACGACCCAGACAACACCCCAAATCCCAGAGATATCCACAGAATATATTTTGATCGAACTCAATTACGGCGGGTTGAGCATGAATAGATATTCAACGAGCGAAATTGGTATCGCCATCTATACTTAGTAAGCAAAATCAAAGGTCGCTGTAGTACCTAGTTCAGAGACTAGGTGGAATAAAAACCAGGCGGACTATTCTTAAAAAAGGAAATAATTCTAGTCCTAATAAGGACGAAATCGGTCCAAAAATGACTTTCTTCTTAGTGGGTAAAATCAAAAATTACATCTAGTGGATATCCACCATGGTTTGCGTTCGCGCCTAGACTTTGATATATTTAGTGGATATCCATGGGATATTGAATACACCTTAAAAAAAATAATTTTAAATATCTGAACGGTACTATTAGCCACAATGGCGTCATTTTTTAATTATTTGCTGTATAATTACTATTTTTTATGGGCATTTGCATGTCTATAAATTACATCTCATGGATATAAAATAGATATCCACCATGGACTGGACATTCAGTGGATATTGGGATGTTCAGTAGATATCCAAAGGATTTGGTGTGCTGTCTGGGGATTGATCACTCAAGCTTCGTCTTCGTGCGTTATGGCCTTCATATCCACTCTTCTTGCACAAACTTCTATTCTTTATCTAATACCTATAAATATGTATTTTAATTTTGGGGCCCACTAAAAAGTAATTATCAAAATTTTTCTAAATTTAAAAAATCATAACCATCGTAGCTTATCTAAAAATCTGCATGATATATGTTTTTGTTTGATTTTAATCATTGTAAGTTTCAATTAAAAGTTCTTTCATCTGGGTACATAGGTATATAATGTTTTTTAAACAATCTACTTAGGTAGATAAGTAATCTCAAAAAAAGTCTAATCTATATGAATTTTCATGAAAACGTATGTATATGGTATATTTAATGCTTATCTTTTCGTCTTGTCTATGTTTTGCTTGAATTTTAAAATAATAATAATAGAGAAATTGAATAAAATTCTGAAAAGCTCTTTTAAATTAATTTCTTATTGATCTGTTCTTGGTTTCTGTCGACATTATTGTCTACACAAGCAAATAACCTGTTTCTGAGACCTTCCTATGAAATTTTAGAGCTTTTGTAATAAGCTATATTGATATTAGGGCCTATTCTTCGCTTTATGAACTGTTTAAATCCCAATAATGTCAAATGTTTTATTAAAATCGATATCGTTGCTGCGCAACTTTTATAAGTAGTTATGTGTATAACGTATTGCTTGGCAAGTAGGTTACGGCTGAGTTTACGGCAGAAGTAACGCTTGTAAATTGTGTTGCCTACACACGATGGCTTTATTTGAAGGTTTGAAAGTTACAAGGTGGCACAATAGACATTTCATTATAAAATTATTGAATTTTTTAACATTTCAGTCTTAGTTGATGTGAATTAGCTGTTTATGGGACATTTTAAAGTAAAAGAAAATCAAAGTATGTGAAGTAAATACATTGATAATGAGATATGCATTTATTGTATACCGTGTGTCCCATATAGGTTATTTACGACTGGCTAATATCTGAGTTATTTGACAAGATATATTTTTGAAATAGTTATATTTCTTTAACTAGGCAGAGAAGTAACAGTAAATCTGCTCTGTGCCGTGTGAAACATACTTTTTTTTCTCTCCGATTTTTTATAGTTTGTTTAAAAAAATGTAACTGAAATGAAGTATAACGGATATAACCTCGTAGTAACTTTGTAGTTAATTTATTAGAGTAACTTTCTTGACCGGATGAATGTAAAAATTATTTTTAATGCCTAGGCAGTAAACGTGTTACTGCTATAATCGAGAAATGTTACTCGGAGAAAAATATTTTTACAGCGTAAACTCAAATTAACCCCTTGTGAAACCACTTCTTAGAAATAATCTTATATTCATTTTTCAAATAGTACCCATCAACAGCGTACTCCGCAGGATCTAAACGGGGGGAGGGGCAAGAAAAAAACACAATAGTTTTTCTTTTTAACCGACTTCAAAAAAGGAAGGAGGTTCTCAATTCGTCGCGATATTTTTTTTTATGTATGTTCAGCGATAATTTTTTAACACGGTGTCCGATTTCAATAATTCTTTTTTTGTTAGAAAGGGGCTACTTCAGGGGTGGTCTCATATAAATTTGGTCAAAATCTAATAATTGGGTCCATGAGGAAATCCTCAAATTCTTCATTTTTTATGTATGTTTAGCGATAATGCTTTACCACCTTGTCCGATTTATACGATTCTTTTTTGTTAGTAAGTGGGTACCTCAGGGGTGGTCCCATATAAATTTGGTTAAGATGTGGTGATGACATCTGCACGTTGTTGAAGTCGGTTTTTTAAATTTTTAATTTCTAATACTTGTTAGTAGTTATTAATAACAAGTGGTGGTTTATTTTTATATTTTTTTTCATTTGATCTATTTTAGGTGTATGATTTTGATGTTTTATTATAAAATTATAGGACCTAGGGTGACAGTAGCTCCTCCCTGTTCCTGGCTGGGTACGCTCTTCCCTGTTCCTGGCTGGGTACGCTCTTTGGCACCCATATATATTCTTTTTGGCACCGCCACTAAATAGCGGAGAACAATATGGAGCAGGGGGAGTGGCGCAGAACTAACAAATAGTGCAAAGTCAAAATAGCAATAGAAAAAAATAGCGCCGGTATAAAATATAGCAGGGCAAAATACCTATACAAACAGCGACTAACAGCGCTTTTTAATGTAAAATAATTAGTTTAAAATAAAATGAAAATTAACCTATTTATCTAACCTGTGCGACCTGAAACCATCGAGGTTTGCGCCGATATATATACAAAATGTAAAAATTTAAAAAAATTAAATAATTCACCTAATTTAGAAAATACTAAAACAGGCGCATTCAACTCAAAAGTTCAAAGTTGTTGCCCTAGAAAAATACAGTGTGGTATTTCCACATACTTTGATTACTATACGGTGCAAGAGAGAGGACCAACATAGGGCGCGGCCATTTTGATTCCTATGCCACAGTTTATACCTAAAGAATCAGATCGCTTACTTTGCGTCGGCACTTTTGATCTCAATGTTCCAGTTTATACACTGCGCAACTCGGATAATACAATACATGACAACCGCCTATAATAAAACAGCAGTCTTCTGCGTATCCTGAATTTGTATCCCAGAAGCGGATGATTAAAACGCACCTATTAAAAATATTGCGCCAAGATGTAGGCAACACGTAATAAGGGATCAAAATGGCGGAGTTTCCTATCTCCTTTTAAAAGGCACTCAGACAGCTGCGCAGTGCGACCATTCTCCGTATAGTAAAAGAAAATCAAAGTATGTGGGTATTTCCTTTGCGATTTATTATTATTAATGACATTAGACCAATGGCATATAACTAACTATATATGTCATTGCATAAGACGGTCAGAGGTGTCAAGAAACAACATCTCCTTATCTAACAGTAATATGGGATAAAAGAGATGATATTATGTATTCTCCCTCGAATTTGTCAGGGGGGGGGGAGATATCGCACATGGTGTCATGGTGGCGCTGACGTCATGCGTAGAGTTAGTAAAGTTGACGCGAAATAAATATCATATGACAGACGCATGTTGCACCAGTTTGTGAGTCGTTTATAGTGATTTATAAGATATATATATTATGTTGTAAACTTTGTTCTCTGTGACTGGTTTTAGTGAAAACCGTTGAAAAATTGCGGTGCGGATGTAACAGTAATAATTAAAGGAAAGGATTCAAGAAAGATATTATGGTTTTTCGCTTTCCTCGACACTAAGAGCTTAGTCAGAAGTGAGGAGTGGCCCAAAGGCGGCTCGTGGCCGTCCTATTTTTGGCACTGTTGATATCCTACCTTTTATTTTTTATAGGTACCATGCGAATTTGTAATATTAAACGCACTGTTGCCCGATCTCGAAAAATATCTATACGCTGAATTATTTTCGACCGATGATTACCTAAATCCGGGAAAAATGCGGATAAGACTGTACCTAAAACCGGGACGAAACAGGAAATTTCTTTTACCAAGGACAGTAAGCAAAAAACCTCATCATAAATCTGTCCCCGCTAAAACGGGACGGTTGGTTATCTTAAGCTATCAGCAAGTCGCTTACAACTCTTGTTACGTAATATACCATTCTTTCTGAGATAATAGATAGTGGGAGGCTTGTTATTGTTATACCTAATCGTTATTCCTTACGAGATCTTTGAAATAAAACTAGTTCCCTTTCATGTAACATTTCGACTATTTTAATGAAATAATAAAACCTATGTTTTACTACCTACTTTCGAAAATTATTTTTAAATTCATTATGTACCTACCTAATTCCTGGAAAAATAAAATACCTATATAGATACCTAATCGATAAATATTTTTGTCTACAATTTTATTTACTTAAAAATATTTTTCCGACAAATTGAAAACATAATCGCCTGTTATATTCCAAACATCACTTTTTCTACAACAGTGGGGAATTTTTATCATGCAAATACATTTTGAAACTGCTAACAAGGATAACTACAAAAATAGCGAACTCAACCCGACTCAAGCAGCTGATTTTGTTGTTACCCGTCCATCTCTTTCTTACATGTCTTCGCTCTTCTCTCTTTAATCTACTTCAATCGCAACAACTTGGTCTTTCTCAACCATATATAATGTTTATTATGTTCTTTAAAACTAATCTAACTTTCAAAGATATTCAAATCAAAAGTTTGTTGTGTCAAATATTCCAAAGGTCAACAAATTAAATGTTCCAAATATAAAAAATATTAAAATAGTCTTGGAATTTCGACAGGAAACGCAAAGAGGTAGAGAATGAAGTAGAGAGTGGAGGGGATGAGAACCGAACATGCAACATGGATACCTACTTGATTTTGGTTTCAGAAACACAGTTACAATCGTAGTGGCTAAGTCGCTCTGATGAGATTGTTATGATTTCTTTTAAATTCCTTTGTTAAATTAAGTTGAAGTGTACAAAACGTTAAATTTAGTGAAAATACGTTGAGTTTTATCAAATTTATACGAATCGTTACCGCAGTTTTGCGAAAGTGTAATTCAGAAGTGTCGGACATAACCTAACTTATTGACAACAACAACGAAATAGATTTGAAGTTTTAAAATTTCTGTGATTAGTGTCTTTCGAGGAAAACATTTAGTGAATTTTTCGGATGCTTAGTGAGTTATTTGAAGATTATGTGCATATTTGATAAAATCTTGTGACTTTCTTAACTGTTATTTCACGACCTACTTTCGATAACTGTTTAAATAACGTGAAATCAACTAAATAAATTGGTTTTTTTCTCATAATCGGAAGTGACAACAGTGAAAATGGATATTCACCCTTAAAATATTATGACTTAAGTAAAGGTAGTGAAAGTGAATATTGATAAATATTTTTTTGAAAATGCGCTGCCACAAGAAAACCAAAGAAAGTGGTTTTTTCGAAGGCGATTCGTCGGATACTGATGGCATAAACATGGGGAAAGCTTTAAAAAGGACTAAAGTGTGCACAACATCTAGTGAAAGGAAAATCGAGTACACCCAAGAGGAGCTCGAGACCCATATCAGGAGAAGTGTAGGAGATGGTATGTACCAAATTCCACCTAATCTTGTCCTCACAATTTTATTTTATTAATATTGGTACTTTGAACCTAGAATTAGTGCGTTTTAATATTACGTTCTTAAAAATATATGAATAGTAAATTTTTCAATACAGGTTTTTGTTTACAATAAAAAATAATTATAGAAAAAAGTGGCGCATAAGATCAACACCTATAAAATTTAATTATTACACACTGTGTACTGTCTTTTGAATTTTTATAGTCATATTCCTGATTTTCCTTTCACTTTAATTATACCTAAGTATTTCCTATTCTTTTTTCTATTGGTTATTCTATTCATTTCCCAAGATTTTCTGTATTTATCTCTTTGATTCGATTAATATATTTTTAAGTCCCTCGAAGTTCTTTTTCCAATCATTCATTATTTATTTAACTTTCATGTGACAATATTGAAAATAAAATATGATTAATAGGTAAGCCGATTAGCTTTAAGGGTCATGTTCTCACCTCTATATCCCTGATGGTAGGTACTGTAATTCTAGGTATATCATGGTACCTACCTTTATTTTATAGTCTTGCATATTGTTAAGAAGTAGGTACCTAAATGGTGTTCAATTTAAACATTTGAAGCTGTTTTCGTTTATATTCAGTTTCATTTTAGTCATACAAAAGTAAATTTAAATACATAATCTTACATTTATTTGATTTTAAAAGTACTTATGCTTCTCCTTAAAATTTTATTAGGTATGCAGGTAATAATATAAATACCTACCTACTTAATGGAAGAATAATAGTAAATACATAATACCTATAATAAATATAAATCAAAGATACACCAGGTTCTTGTCAAATTTATTGAGGTACCTACATAAGATGACTATTAACCTTTCTACATAAATAAGTAGGTAGGTACTTACTTAGTTAAAAATGGTTAAATGTATAAAAGTCCTTACCTAACCTTTGTTGATGAATTTTTTGTCTTGGGATACCTACCCAGTTTATGAGGGGAACAACTGTTAAAATTGAAAGGATAAATTTGATAAATTAAAGAGATAGGTAAGCAAAGATTTATCATTTTAAATAAGTAGGTACCTCAGTTATTTTGTACACTTTTTTCTATAAAATACCACTTAATTTTAATGGTAGGTAATTTTAAATGACTTTGTTATTAATGAAACTAATTTTTATTATTGCTTATTAATTATTTTATGAAGGAGAGGAAATCTTTTGTTTTTTATTCCAGAAGAATATGTAACAGACAACAATTATTTTTAACATAGGTACCTATGTAGGTAGGTACCTACCTAATTTAAGAATTGAATGTTTTTTAACTTGAATGTTTGTACTTTTTTGCTAAATTAGTTGAAAATTAAGTTTTTTTTATTATTTTACCCCCACCATCATAAATAATTGCCTACAAATATTTTTTTGCGAATTGTTTTTTGTAATACTTATTATTTGTTATTACATCAACTTATTTACACATCATTTTATTTAACGTGTATAAACAGTCTGCAAGTGAGACCTACTTACCTACTTACAACTAATAGAAACAGTGGTCTGATTAATATCTAGGCACTGAATATTCACCTTGATATGTCCTTGAGCTTAGACCTAGGTAATATTTCTGTATGCACCATTTTAAAAATGTTTTTAAAAATCCAATTAAGTAACAAAGCGTCAAATTTTTTGGATAGTAAAGTGGCCTACCAATAATTTCACATTTATAGATTAAAGATTGCATAAGACCAATGTTGTGGTTACCTCAGTTTTTTTGTCACTATTTTAATGTATTCAGGCCATTTTTCTATTGATCTTTGATCTTGACCTCAATTTTTATTCACATTAAGTAACTAAGGGAAGCCATAATCCATAGCAACCTTTTTAATCTTGTATGCCATTTTAAATATAAACTTACAAATTTTTAAGGTTGTATTGTTTATTAGTAATTGTAGAAATATCAAAGAACAAATTGATGAAGTTGTTTTAGGGTCTATATCTAACAAAAATAGATCATAAACCAATTTTATATAAAAGTACAACAATTTAAAGTTGGGATCATTCATTTACATTTATTAGAATAGAAACATTATTGCATTTCTTTATCCACTTTGTAATAAATACAGAACAAAATAACCTTTGGAACGAAAAATATTTATATTTCAAACCTAATCAGACAAATAATGCAAATGCATAAGTACTTAATAAACAAAAATAAACAGATTCAAAAATAAAAACTTGGAAAGCAACAATGATAGCAAAAGGTGAACCGTTTTTAGAGGTAAACAAGTACAATAAACTTTTCCAAAAATTGTTTACAGTAAAAGTATAAGCGTAATTTTGATATTATTAAAAACATGTTTACTAAAAAGGTATGTTTACTGAAGTATTAATAAGTAGGTATATACTTTCGATTTAGAATTATATTTAAAGTAATTTTGAAGATGCTAGTGCCGTAATAGCATTCTAATGGCATCGGTAATTATTCTCTGAACAAAAATGGTTTTTGCTCCGTTGCCTCAAAATCAAATTGCATGTAGATTAATACAATCATATAGAGGAAATTGTTAATAAGACTTGATTAACTTTATTTCAAAATTTGCGTTTCCTACTATGCATACTTAATAATATCAGCTAAAAACTAAGAAACATTTTGCCATACTTACACTACCTATACAGTAAATGAAATATTGAAGCAGTGATTTGTTTGACCTCTTATTTTGCTCAAAATGATATCTTAGAAGGTAATGTTTTTGTAGTAGGTACTATATTTACCGATGGGTGGTACTCACCAAGTCTGAAGATGATGAATTTATTACTCTCATGCGCATAATTGATATTCCCATGGTCTACTTTGCAAGAGAAAAGTATAGCCTATAAATAAGCCGGAGTTTAAAGGAATATCTGGTTAGATTTTTATCTGTAGCACCCAATCAATCAGTTCGTTATTAAGTAACGGTATAATATAAATTGCACCAGTAATCCAGACTCGCCTAATTTTTGAATCTATCTTTAGATCAACTGATAGGTAACCTTGAATCTCGTGATACACCTACATTATGGCATTGTGCAAACAAAGTATTATTATTTAAATCTTGCGATTTGTTTAAATAGAATTGCAATTAATTATTTATTGATTACTAAACAATTTTTTTATTATCTATTGATTCAATGGGTAATCAACCGTGATTATTGTTGTCTGTTCGATTAGCACATCTAATGCTGCTTAAGATAATAATCGAAATTTAATTTATAGATTTATTAGCTTAAAAAATATAGCACATACATGTACCGAGGTATTAAACAAGATTATTTATTCATACCTGAAATTTTTATAGAAGGTATAACTTAAATATTAGTAATCGCAATAGAGATGAGAATTGATCTTGACCTTGAGGGAACACCTGTAGGTTAAAATAATTCGTCGCCCTGTATCATTCAGTCTATTTTATTTTTTACTTTCAATGGAATCTTGAAAATATTTTTCAGCAACTACTGAGCGCTTGCAGCCACCATGGCATTTTAAAAGATTAATATCCGCCCCAACATTAATCAACGACATTGCAGAAGTTCTTCTAAAGCATATCTACTTATATGGATGTTACAGATTAAGAAATTCTGCGCTTTTTTCGGTTAAATACTCTCTAGTTTAAACATTTATTTTTTTTTTATAACATATTATTAAAAGAGCCTCTTAACGGATATTTTTAGGTCTCAATTTTCGGTATTTTCTGAAAAGATTCAAGTACACCTTATCGCTATCAGTTACTGTAAATACCCGAGTTTTTCTATTATTAATAAGAACTACTATCTGAGACCCAGTATCTTCTACATCATCTACGTTAGATTATACAGTCATTCTCTTCTATATCCTCCGGAAACTCATAGGAATGCATTTATCTATAACAAATATAAACTCTTTTGGTACCTCTCTCAATTCATGTTTCCACTTTCTTTTTTAAATATCTTAGGAAAACGCGAAAAATCGACGATCAACATCGAGTACTTTGACTATAAGGATTTAATTTATGCTTTCGACTGAAAATTAAAATTATATCAGTTAATAGGAAGATCTTCAAAAAATAGCATCTTACCAAGTCCAAGAAGTAGGCCAAAATCACCTCTTCATTGATACTTATTTGGACGTTGTATTTCTGGCGCCAGTTTTTAAATAACGCATATGCAGGGTGTCCCGAAATTAGACGGTCAAATTTTAACAGTGTAATCTACATCCTAAAATAGGAGTAAAAGTTCATATAAACTAAGTCCGAAAACGTTTCATTTTCGAGATACAGGGTGTTACAACTGAAGTTCTGATGGCACATTTTTGTAAATATTTTCTAAAATTTCTTTAGTCACCGGTTTTCCAAAGTTAAAAAAAAGTAAAATTTCTGATTCCTACTAATTATTGTTTTCACTTTCGAATAAGATAACATCAACATCATGAAATTTTCAAATGCTTTTCTATTGAAAATAGTGCGTCCTAGCGAGATGCAACAAAAGTTGCTTTATTATAAAGAAAACATTGGTTTTCCAAATTTTATAGTCAAAATTGTTAAAACTGTCAACAAAAAAAACTTAGGACAATTTTACCCTAAGCCCCCCCCCCCTAATTTACCCACCTATGAAGACGATCAAAAACTAGGGTTTAGTCCATTAAATAGAGCGTAAAAAGGTAGGCATTTGTACCAAATTTCACTTAGTTATTTTTAAAGGTTTAGAAAATATTTACAAAAGTGTGTCATCAGGACTTCACTTTTAACACCCTGTATCTCGGAAAAGAAACGTTTTCGGACCTATGTTTATATGAAGTTTTACTCCTATTTTAGGATGTATATTACGCTGTTAAAATATGACCGTCTAATTTCGGGACACCCTGTATATTTCTTTTCATATCTTTGCGCATACTTGGAATGATAACTTTCCTACAATTTCCGCGTTTTTCATAGAAAATTCCATTTCAGTCATTTTTCCCGGTAATTAATATATTATTAGTGATTCTAAATATAAAAACCAACATGTCT